AAAACCCGGGTAGATGAAGGTTGGTAAGGGACAATCCCAACCATAAATAGCTGCGGCCGGCTTCTTAATTCCTTACATGGTTCTGGGATTCTGACAACAATGATGAACAGAGACACAGAGATACTGCGACAGTGAGACACTACCCCAAAATCGAGCACACCAGGAGCAAACGAACAAGGATCAAAAGGACTTAACGCAAAGCAGAGAACGCAAACAATAAGCATCCATATGCTCGGCGGACCCCAGAATATCAGGCCATATCGCATAGAACCCAAGGGTTCAAACCCATTTAGGGCAAAAAAGGCCCCCAAATTGGTTTGGTTTTTCCTTTAACTTCCCCTATACCAACACAGGGGTCCTTGTCAACCCAAATGAGAAGCACCATTTCGAGCATCGGAGGATGTGGAGGTAGAGGTGGGGTACTACGTCCAGGTGCTGGGTCTCGGCAGGGTGCCGGAGGATGTGGCCTTCACCAGCAGGCGCCTTTCTGATTACAGGGGCCGAGGGAGGCTTGAGACGTTTAGTGGCAGTTTCCATTTAACCCACTAGAAGTTAAACTTTTAGCGGGGGATCTGAGGGCAGCCTAGGGTATGTGTCAAAATGGGGCGACCCGAAAAGGCTTCTTGGTGATTCAGCGAGCAACAGGCCCATTCAGAGACGGCTGAGGATTGAAGGGATGCAAAAGGTACATGTGCGATCATTCGAGTTCAAAGCAAGCCAAGCTAGAAATGTACGTCATGCATTCGCACCTTGCGCAAGTCATATTGTTCGAAACGTTCTACTCGACACGGTGACTTTGTTTCACTGCAGCGCCAGATGCGTTTCCACAAAAAGCATGTCATAGACTGGCAACTAGCTTCCGTTGAGTTTAGGGGAAAACAAATGGGAAAATACCCATCGCAGCCCCCATGCGTGTCAGCTTTCTCTGAGGTTGGGCACATGGCTTTGGGCACTAGCTACACAAGTGCTGGTCAGAGTCGAGGCAGATAAAACGGACATGCTATTGGAGCCCTCACCTACAGACCATGCCACGATCAAAGGCATTCACACAGGGGTACCTTTTTTGAGGGACCATGTTTTGGTGTGTTTTTGAGGGGGACAAAAAGTAAATCAGCAATTTTTGCCCGCGTGCTTCCCCCCGAACACTGGGAGCCACCCAACTAACTCATGGCATTGAGTTTAGGAAAGGATTTCATCCGCTGCGCATATACACATATTACACATAATATATGTATTTATGTATATATATATATACACACGTATATTGCTGTCAAGAGGAATGTCCAAACTGAGTGAACGGCTCAGGTCTCACATTCCGTGCCCACACTCCAGGCCTCCCAAGGCAAAACCGCAGGGGCGACTTGCGAGTCGCGAGCCTTCGCAAGCCAGAGGGTATGGCCAGGGTAAACGCTGGCCTTCCATTTGGTTTCCAGGGTTTCTCCGAGCCAGATGCAAACCTGAGGTCTCCATAACCTTTGTGGGAGGATGCATCTTAGGTTCGAGTTTTCAAAGGGTAGGCGTTCCTTAAGTCCGGGGCTTGTTGCGAACTTGTTGTATCCCCACCCCTAAGATGGCATCAGGGGTGGTGTGGCCCCTGGAATTTCGTCTAGTACGTTTCTGTTTCCTCTTGTGGCAAAGACCCTCCCACTTCTCTCCCCCTTGTTGTACTTTTGCTGGGCTTGTCCTGCTCCGGGGGGGGGGGGTTGGGGGTCTTTCCCGTGAAGCATGGGACTAGTTGTTGACCAATTTTGCCCAACCCTGAACATATGCCCTCTTTTTATAGCTTTTTGTTGCACTTGTTTTTTCCAAATCCAGATGTGTTTTAGGTGTGGTTGTACAGGGGTCTCGACATGTGAGGCGCGGCGTCTTCTCGCCGCCCATGGGTGATTCCCCAGACCCGGGCTCCTTGGACAACTTCTGGCGCCTCAGAAGGAATTGGAATCCACCCCAACTTTGTTGGCCCCAGGTCGAAAAATGGTCCGAGTAAGGGTACAAGCGCTGCGAAAATACCATCGTCGCCTTTTTAAGGAGGGGTCTCAAAATGTTAGGTACTCAAGTGGTGGTTTGGATTGGTTTGGATTTGGATTTGAAGCTCTCCTTGTTTGAAACCAAAAGGCGAAGGTATTTACCCGGCATCCGAACCACCGAACCAACCACCAAGGGGGCCTTTGGGGCTATGTTTTGCTGTTCCAATGCACAGGGTAGGTTTGGGAGTGTTTAGCCTTGGTGTTTTTGCACTTTTCGAGGTTGGAGGGTCGCTGGGTACCTGGTTTTACCGGCCCAGACCACAGTGATCAGAAGGGTTTGTTCTCTGCCACTACTATCCTCTCACCGGCTGACATGGGTTTGTGCACAGCCCGCTGTAGAGAGACCGTTTTCCTCTTGGTTAGTTGGACTTTTTGCCCTTCCATGTTAGTTGGTGGGAGGGTAATTACTTTTAGATAGGGAGCACCCTTCAAAATGATGGGCACACAGCAGAGATCAGTGCCTGCGTGGATGATGCCCACCAGAGGATTCCTGGTAGACCTCACGCCAAGATGGTTGCCATGGTTCCAGTTCCACGTGACTGGCAAGCTTTCAAGCAGCGCAGGAAACGATGAGCCATCGACATTCCCGAAGAATCGGCGGCTGATGGTCTCAATCAGTGTCCTGGTGTAGTTGGCTTGTCTTCTTGTAGGGGACTCCAAAATGGTTATGTTTGCCTTTAAAACTACAACAAAGGAGTAGCCTGCACAAAATGCGCGCCCATATCGACCGATCTTTGTCACTCCGCCCCTGTTCCGAGGCGCAGTGCTGAGAACTTCCACCAGCGGTCCTCTGAGGGCTTGCAACTTGGTACCAAAATTCCCCCAGTGTGTTTCTCAGAATGGCTGTGTGTTCCAGTGAAGAACCGCCTGAAGAGTCTGGACATGCATCCTCACAAATCAAGGACGCCTTCAGGTGGTTCATATCCTCTTGATCCCTCTTAAAGCCATCCCCAAACGAGACCTCGATTTTGAGAAACATTGAGTTGCTCGATAGGAAACAAGGGGAGACATGTTCAACTTCAACCCTTGTGTGGCTGTTTTTCGTTGCGGGTTCCCTTTTTGGATGGTTTTGATGCAAAAGGGAGAGTCGAAGCCCGGTTAAGGTTCCCGCAGTCGAGTGCCAACTTGAAATGCCCTCTACGGAAAGAAGAAAGAAAAAACAAAACAACTGGCACTGGATATCCTTGACCCCAGCAGACCTGTGGCTTGCTTCCGTTTTCTGAAATATTTTGGACGGGTTTCAACGGCAACCGCAAAACTTGGAGTTTCCAACTTGTTTTCCCTAAGACAACCAAAGCACAGGGAGTGCAACAACTTGTTCCCCCACGGCCACGGGTTTCACTTAGATTGCCCTTGTGATTTGAAGGGGAACACAAAGGACAAAGTTCTTTTTGTCGGGGTCCTCTATTTCCGGAAGCAAGCCATCACATGTTCCAGCTGTCACGGTTCAGTGGAACCCCAAAGTGTGTAGAAAACCCCTTCTTCCCTGGGAAGGCTTCCTCTGTGCCAAGAAAGCGGGGGTGGGGGGAGAGGACAATTTTTGGAATGCCAGTGGCATGGGCAGTTCGAGGGAACGCCGGCGACTTCCTTGGTTTTTTTTTTGAGAAGGGGTTGCCTTGGGAATCAACCTCCGCCCTTAAAAATTAGCTGCAAAAGCTGGGATGCCTCAACAGTTGCGGGGTTTCTTTTTTTTTCTTTCTCAGATGACAAAAACAAGCTGGCCTTTGTCCCCAGCTCACCGGCACGTTCGCGACTCGTGCCCTTACCTTTGGCTTGCTTACTAGTCGCTGTCCCAAAGAGTCGAGTTCCCTTTTAACGCCTGGGTTACTGAAGTCGCTGGCCCCTTATGCCTCTTCACGTTCTGACTTTTCTCGAGTTGCGTCCCAAGCGTGCCCAAGCGATCCCCAATGGGCTTTCTCTTGCTTCCCTCCAATTCCTGCAACTTGCCACAAGTTATTCAAATCCAGTAACCCCTGTTCCCTTCTAGATGGCCACCAGCCCATGTTGGGGTTGTGCCAAGTTGGGACGCCAATTTTCGCTTGGACCAGGGTTGGGCCTTGTTTAGACCATAGTTCAAACCACTTCATTTTGCTTTAAACTCCCAGACCGTGGCTTGCCATGTTGGTTTTCCAAAGCTCACTTCCTGAGTCAATGGACGTTAAAAGGTTTGGGTTTCTTTATCACTTTAGTGGTAAACAAACAGTTTGGACTTTTGTTTTGGGCCATCTACGGTTTTCCGAGGCTCGAATTGGGTGTGATTCCTTCGACACGTCTTGCCTCAAAGCTGAGGCTTTGGGCGGTGTCGCAGGCCTGCCCTTTGCGCCGAGTTCATGTGGACAGGCCAGGTGGGCCCGAGGTTTCCTTTTTTTTGAGGCTCACGGGTCTCCTTAAAGCGAGCGGCAGCCGCATTCCGGCAAACTGCTGCTGTTTGGGAGGGTTTCCAGGAATTTACCCCAATGGAAAACCCTTTTTGGGTGCACAGGTGTCCCTTCTTCGGCCAGTTTGGTTGAAAATACAGCCTAATTGTTGACCAGTGCCATTGATTTGTCCAGCATGACACCTAGGATGATTCGAGGTGGGCAACGGAGGGAGGCAAGGAGACGATGGTTTACGTGGCATGTGCAGCTGCCCGACAGTGGATTCGGGAGTTTGGGTGCAAGCGCCTCTGTTGCGAGAATTCGTTGGGCAACAAGGGGCTGCTCTTCAAACTTGTTCGGCACGAGCTTTGTTCCTTGAGAGGGATCAATGCATACCACTGATGCCCGCACAAGAGCTTCTGCGTTCGATTCAAGCAATGCAGGTCTCAAGGTAAAGCCTCCGGGCTGTCGGGGGGTTTGGGCAGAGGTCCTTTTTGGTGCTTCTTCGGTGTGTGGCAAGAAATCCATCGAGCGAAGACCGTGAGCAAAGGGATAAGGCAGAAATGGAGTTTGAAGGCTGAAATGGATTTGGAATTGTGCTCAGAGGTTCAAACAGATGCCGCAGCCACCCAGGCGGGCTGGGGCCGACTTTTGTTGGCCCAATGCCGGAAGCGAGCAAGACCGTGTTCCTCGGCAGGTCTTCTGAGAGGCTGAAACTCAGTTCCCTTTGTCCAATCCACTTTCGACGTGAGCAACAACACTGTTCTGCAGGCGAGCCCTTTTCCCTGCATCTGTTAGCAACCTGTCTTCCCGATCATTTTGGGCCAATCTAATCCTCAGGTAGTGCGCCAGAACACGAGACTCTCCACCACCCTCCTCCCTTTGTCAGGTGGACATGGATCAAATTAAAACTCTCTGGGGCCCGCAGCTATGAGTCCATAGTTTCCAGAAAAGAACAAACAAAACAAAAAACGCAGAAACATGTTCCAGGTTGGGGTTGCCCCTCGGATTTTTGGCCCTGCCAGGGTGTCCACTGAATTCTCCCCGCAGGAACCTGTCCCTCTTCCAGAAGGGCGCCTGGGCCTCCGGAGGCTACTTGGCCAACGTCCAGGTGGACGGCTTCACCCTGCTGGGCGGCCAGCGCCTTCGAAGAAGCCGAAGAACGGCCCCCCCCCCAACACCCTTCCAGGGGTGGTCCAAAGGGACCTGGACCCTCAAAAATACCCTGCAGCATGGGTTGTTGCCCCAGAAGTACGAAGTGAAACTCCTTTTTTATGAGTAGTGTGAGGGTCCAGGGAGCCAAGATGGGTGCTTCTCAAGATGGCTCTGTCTTTTTGTCGGTTCCCTCAAGAAGAGACCCACGCAAATAGGGGTAAGACAGGGGATGGCTTTTTTCAAATGGCCATGGTCATAGCCTATGGCTCCATTTTGGGGGCGGATGAACACCCATGTACCCCCTATTTTGATGTTCGCCAGAGGTACAGGGTTTTGACCCACGGCCAAATGATTTGAAGGAACTCAACAGAAACCGTCTGCAGGCAGGAAGGCAAACCGGAAACGAGCCGGAAAAAAGAGGGAAGTCACACAAGGAACCAACACATGGGGGTCCCCGCGGAAAAACTTGAAAAGGGTACTCAAAATCCTAGAGCCTCTTCTTCCTGTCGGTGTCTTTGCGCATGTTGGCACAGGTGTACGGGTTACAAGAGGGTTACACTGAGCAGGTTTGGGTGTTTCAAACCAATTCCTTTTGGCGGGGGCACTCAAGAGAAACAACACAAGTCAGATTTGGTCTCATGCACAGAAGTCAGCTTTCCCTTAGTGGGTTGTTTGAATTGGTGATTTGGGGGTCCACGTAGAAGGTGCCCCCTCACCTCCAAACCGAACCAAAGCACCCATGATCTCATAACACATAGGAAACTCAAAGCCTTACCCTCACGCTTCAACTCCAAGACCCTTTGAACAATAATGCTGGAAATGTCAATTCTTGTGTTCCTTCGCATCGCCTGAGGCAGCAGTGGATGTTGCGGAACTCCAACATCTCTACGCCCGATGCGGCTACCCTGGGCGGGCAATGGAACGTGGTCTTAGTTGGATGCACTGGCCCCTCGTCGAAAGCGTGCTGCTGGATTGCCTCGAGTGAAACAAAAGCACATATGTATATAGTATGCGCAACATGTGACCGCTTGATTCATGTCTCGGTTGTGTTATTGGTTTGGTTCGATGGTCGGGCTTGTCCGGACGGTGAGCACCGAAACATGTACCGTGTGAGTGCCCTGTGTTTGGCCGTTTGATTACTTGAATCGAAATGCAAAAGGCCGACATAGACTGCTGGTTTAGCATGAAGCCGGTTTTTCTTTTGGAGGGGGTTTTCCCTTAAAACAACCACCAACACAAATGCCATTCTCTTATGGCCACTAGGCTGTTCTCGCACGACCCCCAACGACCATGTTGTTCGCTAGTCCCAAATGTGTCGTTTGCCGAGGGCGCCCCTTCTCAAAGAGAAGCCGGTCCAAAAGGCAACCGCCCATGGTCGATGGTCCTTGGTTCCTTTGTACAGGTGTCCCACTGCAGATTGCAAACTGGAGGTTCCAGACACCAAAATCCCCGCCGGGATTCCTCCCATTTAGAGATTCCCCCGTTTAGAGCCAAGACCCAGCTGCTCCAAAAAAGGGTTTGACACCGGCACCACCAACCCCGGTGGCCTCGCGCGCGCCGATTCTTTTTCAGGCGCGCCGCGGGGCACGCTGCCCGCGGCGGGCTGGCAGGCGGCAATCACCAACCTGGCGCAGACCCCGGTGATCGCTGAGAAACCTTTCATCTCCATCGCCCCTCGGACCTATGTCGGCGGCTGGGGTTTGCTTCGGGGTTTGAGGTGAAAGCGGAACGGGTCGCCCGTTCCGGAGGATTCCAGGGGGTGAGAGGTAGAGATGTTTCGGCTTTGAATGCGTGTCTCCTTGTCGCATTCACTGAGATCGATTCAGATGGAATGGTTCAACGCCACCATACACCAACGCCACCCTACGCCCGATTGAAGTGCTTGCAACCATGTGTTCTTAAATACCATGGCGCAGGATGGGGTTCTGATTGGCATTGCAGGACAAGCAGTCTGAAGGTTTTTTGTTCACAGCAAAAGGTGACTTCATGAATGCGAGCAAATTCTCACGACATCACCGTTGTGTGGGGGTAAAACGAGCTTACTCGTGACGAATCCCATACCTGGGGATACACAGTCCCTTTGCCTGAATCGTGTTTTGGGGTTAGCGAAAATCATGTCAAAGAAAATGCAATGGCTTCCTTTGCAATAGAAGATGAGTGTACGTGTGTAGTGGGGATGAAATGTACCTGGTAGATTGGGGATGTCAGATGTTATGTAGCTACGTTATAGTTTGGCCATGCTGTGCAGGGTCAGGGAAGAGAAGCCGTCGGGCAACCACTGCTTGGTGTCGAGTGAGGATTACGAGGATTGTAGCTCAAGTTGACAGGTGGTAGTTGATAGACGTCTCTCTGTGGGCATTCCTTTTGAAGAGGTGTTGTAAAGGATATCAATCAAAGGGAAACCGCCAGCAATTTTGGGTGTTCCCCGTTTGGAGATGACTTGCCGCTATGAACTATATGGGCTTGTCTCAAGATAAAGGATCATAACAAATCGTTCCCAGTTTCGCTTTGGTGATTAAATAACCCTGTGTACCCTGGGTACCAATGTGCCATGGTTGTACAGGGCCAGGATTATGTTTGTTGCGTGCCCCAACGGCTTAAACCCAGGGATAGTTGATTTCCCCGAAATTGGAACTGAGTTAAGTCTTCCATCCCACAATGGTTTCAAGTTTTCCAGCATTGCCTGTTTGTCGTTGTTTAAAAGGGGGGAACCACAAAAGTTTCTTGCACCCCGCAGGACTGTAATGACCCAAAGGCAAATGTTGTTTTGTGTTTATTGGGAGACGACCCTTTTTGTTTTTTGTTTGGGGGGGGAGGGGGGGGAGGGCGGGGGAATCAAAAGAGCCCAACAACCCCCATTGCAGGGGTCCAAACCCCTGTTTTGAGACACCGTAGAGTTTAGGGAAGTTTGGAGTTTCCCAATTTGGAAGAATTATATGCGGATAAACATTTCAGCCATGGGCTGAAAGGTTGGAAGGTTTGGACATGTTTGATTGTGCCGCCCTGGCACGAGCATTTCGGCCACGATGGCTCTGTATGATTAGAGGTCGCGTGCGAGGTTTTATAATCGCGGCCACGGCATCGAATAGATTGCGTATGTTTACCCTCTCTCCCTCTAAACTGGCCACAGGGGTTCCCTCCAAGAGGAAACTGGTCTTGGTAATTTCCAGAGCCGCCATGTGGGAGGAAGGCGTTGATTCGTCCATTTTGGGGACCGCAGGTTTTTTTGGAGTTCGTTCCTGAAAATTGTGTTTTTCTAAGGGTCATCATTGACGTTAGTCCTAAGGGGAGTGTATTTCTTCTGGTCAACATTGATTTTGGGCCCTCAACATGTGGCTGTGGGTCAAAGCCAATGCTACCATTTTGGTTGGTAGGTGAGTTCACCACCCATTTTAGAGCCGGGATTTTAGTGGTTGGATTGGTTGATGTTCACTGGGGGGTAATCGGAATTTTGGGTTTTCAAAAGCCCATGGCCATGTTGTTTTCGAGGGCCCCACGGGCCTCTTCTTCCTGGAGATTCCGGCGGTGCAGTTTCTGGCCGTGGGCCCCTCCCACGGCCCCGAGGCGGGATCCGCGGATCCGGGGCCCAGTGTTGGTTCGGAAGATACGTCAGCCGTGAGTCCAAGAAGAAGATGGAGCTACCCCTTTTTTTGGGGGGGCTTTACACAAAATATTTTGGGTGTCCCCTTTTTTTTATTAAAATATGACATGTTGGGTGTCGCTGTTTGTTCAAAGAGAAGGGGTCACCCCAGCCCTCTTATGATCTTTTTTTTGGTTTTCTTACACATTCTTGTGTGTTCCTTGGGCTTTCTTACACAAAACATTTGGGGTTAACTTTGTTTGTTTTGGGTGAAGAGAAGGGTTTACCCCTTTGTTTTTGGTAAAGGGGCGGGGGTCAGCCCTTTATTTTGGGTAAGGACTCCATTTTTATTGGTCATGGAGACTGGTAAAATCAAACAGCCCTAAGGCTCATTTGAAGAGGAACACTTCCCAATCAACGTCTGACCCTGAAGGTCTTGGATGACGGCAGGGAATCATGACCAATCGGCTGTGGCTCAAAAACACATGTACCAAAATGGCACCTTGGTAGGTGGAACCACAGACTAAAACCTGCCTAGCCCTAGCTCTTTAGTTTTGAGCCACTCCCCTCTGAGACATCATCAAGCCCGGTAGATGAAGGTTGGTCCGAACCATAAATGGGGCGCTGATGTCCGCCATTGTAATTTCTTACATGGCTCTGGGCCAACCATTTCAGTACCAGTCTCCATGCCCCTTTAAAAATGGGGTCATTGCCCAAATGCGGCAAAATTAGGTGTGTGCAAAAACCCAACGCTCACAGGGTCCCTTTCTGTACCCAAAATGAAGGGTTCATGCTGCCTTTTTCTATCAGAAGGAGACTCCGGGCGCCGAATTTTGGTTTTGACTCGCGCCTCGCAGGCCAAGTCGGTGCCCTTCAGCGAGGTCTTCGTGGCCAGGCGCGGAGCGTGAAACCGCAAAAGCCGGGCTCCAAATGGCCGAGCTCCGAGGCTGGACTACATAGCACCAGTCTTAGTTGCAATGGGGAACATGATTGCTTTTTAGATTGATCCATGCTAGTTTGTTTTTTGTTGAAGCTTCATCCTGTGATAGACTCCGCAAATGGATCAACTTTGATCAACTGTGTATTCCAATGCAACCGCTGTTGATGTGGTAACATCAGTGACCTTTCCCCAGCTTCGCAATGGTGGAAAATGGCGGTAGGCAAGATCTTGCAGAACTTGCGCGATTGACGTCTACCTGTGTACCCCTTTCAGTGGATACCGGTCAAAAGCTTCTTGTTTGGGGGTTGCCCAGGAATGGGACTGCCACAAAAAGGCTTCCAAGTCTCACTGGGCTGAGTGTGGGTGTTGCATACCCAGGGGCTGAGCCGTGACCTGACGGAAATGAGTTTGCTAGACTCGAAACTCGGTTGAGGTCCGGTGACTGAATCGGGGCCAAAACATCAGAACATTCTTGGGGACACTTGGGCATTGGGTAAGTTATCTTAGGCCTTCATGTTTGCTCTTGATGTGAATTACGCATACTGCAAGTATTTAACAATGTTTCTGCGCCGTTTGTTTTTCTTTTGTTTATCGGAGTATACATGTAGTTGGACACAACCATGCATGTTCGGCTGATTGGGGGCCTTTTCGATCCTTTTTTTTCTAAACAGCGCCGCTTCTTCGGCTCGCCCCGCCCCAAAAAAAGGTCTTCGGAGCCGGGGATCATCCAGAGCAAGCTGGACCTTGGGCTCCATGTGGTGCTTTCTCCAGGACCCGAGTTGGGGGTGCGATTGACCTGAACAAAAAGGCCACTGGATGTTAGGGGGTGAGAGGAAGTGCAATGGAAGACCCGGACCGACATCAATCGGGAGATTCTGGGGAGTGGAAGAAATAGTCAAACTGACGTCCGAAGTGTCATAGAAACCAGCACAAACGCATTTGGGGGAGGGCCACTAAATTGTCCAAAGGACCGTGGCTCACGTAGCCCCTAAATTATGGAGTTTGGAGATGGGGCCGTTTATGGCAACCTGATGGTGATGATGAGGAGGAAGAGAAACAGTCGGTGTGTGTGTGTGTGTGCGTATAGTGTGGATGTGCGTGTATGTGTGAGTGTGACTGTGCGCGTGTTTGCATGAAGTGTATGTGAATGTGTGTGTGTGTGAACTGTGGCGTGTGTTTGCGTGCTTGTGTGTTTGCATGCCTGTGGGTTTGAGTGTTTGCGCGTTTGTTTGCGTGCCGCTGTCTTTGTGTGTGTGTGTGGGTGGGTGCGGGCGTGCGTGCGTGCGTGCGTGCGTGCGTGTGTGTGTGTGTGGGTGGGTGGGCGTGTGTGTGTGTGTGTCTGTGTGTGTGGGTGTGTGTGTGTGTGTGTTTGTGGGTGGGTGGGTGGTTGTTTGGTTGCATATTTATTGGGTAGTTTCCTGTTTGAGTGGTGCGTGTTTGGGTCTCACACACTTATATGCATATCTAGTGTCTCTTTGTGTGCGTTTGTTTGATGTTCTCTGTGCTTGAGTTGTGTGCGCGTGCATGCGTGGGTGCGTGCGTGCTTGCGTGCGTGCGTGCGTGCGTGCTTGCGTGCGGGCGGGCGGGAGCGCGCGGGCTGTGTGTCTGTATGTGTCTGTGTGTGTCTGTGTGTGTCTGTGTGTGTCTGTGTGTGTCTGTGTGTCTGTGTCTGTGTCTGTGTGTCTCTCTGTCTCTGTGTTTGCGTGTGGTGACTTGTATGCGAGTGTGTGTTGGTGTGTGGTGTGTGTGTGTGTGGTATGCGTGTGTGGGTTCGTGTTTGTGTGTGGTGTATGTTTTTATGCGCATGTGTGTCCATGGCTGTGTGTTTGCGTGCGTGGTTCAGAAAAGAGCCGAACACGGAGATGGGTCTACTTTTTTGTAGGGGACCCCCGCAAAAGAGAAACATAACAAAACATTGTGATGTTCCTTTTGGATTCCCTTCAAACTCCACAAGCAAAGGGTGTTCTCAAGAAAGGACATGCCCAGATGATTTCAACTGCAGCAATTTTGCAGACACGCAGGAATTTACGAGCTGTCAGCGCCGTTGACGCTGCGCACCTCGGGGCAGGCAGAATTTGACGCCGAGAAGCGAGATTCTGAGATTGGGATCATGGTGTCCAGCTGGTTTCCTCGTTTTTAATGTTCCGCCAATGTCGTTTGAGAAAGCAACGCAATTACAGGTTGTTTATTGTCAGTTTCGGGGGGGCCAAGCAAATTTGACTCATGTGAATTCGTTTTGGGTGTTTCCGGTGTGGTTTCGGGGCTTTCGTCCGCCTGCTTATTTGTACCAGACAGGCGCCAATGTGGTTTGGGCGAAGACCGGGGCTTGGGACAACCACCAGCTCAAACATGGCCTAAAGCACTGGTTGAACCACCTCCTTTTGGTCGGTTTCTCAAGGGGGTGCAGCCCACCTCTTGTTTGAGCAGCCTCCTTTTGCTTTGCCAGGTTTCTGTAGGGGGGACAAGGCCTGCTTGTTGAAGCAACTTTTGCACCTCGGAATTCCTCCTCGAGCAAGTGGAAGCGAACGCTCTTCCCCTGGTCTCTCGGACGTGTTTCCTCAGATTGCAGGGACCTACAATTCACTTTGTTGGGGGGAATCCTGGTTATGTTTTCGGGATTCTGTGAATAACTTGTGTTCCTGAGGGATGTTTATCGCAGATGAGCTTGTTTTACCTCTGCCACATGTGCCCGCCCTCCCCCCCCCCCAGAAAACCGCCGAGCTGAGCAAGCAAAAGCCCGAAGCCAATGGGATCTACTGGCAAAGCCTCACAGCTTGAACCTCCGGGTTATGCGACCCTGCACTTTTCCCACGCAGAGAGGCAACCCGAGGTCACCTGCCATGAACAGAGGCCGGGACAAGGAAGACCGTCCACGGGCCTTGGAAATGCCGTTCACTGCTAGAAATGCTGAAGGAATCTTCAGGCACAACGCTCAATGTCGGTGTCCCGGGCTTGACGTTCTTGGAATTTGTGCGGTGCCGCAAGTTGAAACGACAAAAAGCTCTATGCCCGTTCCCCAAAACTGGCGCGAGCGCGCCAGGTCTTGCTAGGGCTGGGCATGGCCACCCTTGTCGCACCCAAAGACGGCCGGGTCCCGGAGCGGGTCGAGGGTCACGAAGCCCTCGAGGGACTAAGGGACAGTGGCAAAGAATTCGCCCATGGGGTTGATCAAGACTAGGCTCCCCAGTGCCCTAAAAACCCTTCTTGGGGGAGTGCTCCCCTACTCAAATAGACTACAGAAAAAAGGGTACCCTTATTCTAACCTCTCTACTGGAGGACCTAGAATAATTTGCCCATGGTGGTTGAAGTTGAAACATCATCTTAGTTATCCCCAATGGTCATCTCATGTGACAGAGCCTTTGATTGATCAGCCCCCATGTCTTGTTGAAAGCTCATTCGTTTCCGTGGCTTTGCGCATTAGCCATGGCCAAACGAAGTTGGTCACTTGTGCCGAATGGGACTAGTCAAGCAGCTGATAAGGCTCCACGGCAGAGGCTCCTGCCAGAGGAACTGTGACCATGACCTACAGAAATAGCTATGATCATGCTTTACGTATTTCTCTACACTCAACTGATGAGGGATACAAGAAACAATGCCACCCATGATTATGGTCCCTCGTGGGTCGCAGAAGTCAGGTTTCAAACCAAGCATGTTCACATGCTGGAGATGGTCGAGCTTCTGCGCGTACGATCTAGGCACTAACAGTTCCGATTGAACAGGTGGAAGGACCCACTCCGGGTGTTTGGGATGTAAACCAGCGGCGTCGGTTTGCCGATGCTTGACATGTTTGCTTGATGGACTGCTGCCACATCGACTGCCTATAAGCACAGCAATGAGCAATGCACACCAGGTATGATGGACTTTCAAGAGGGTTACCTTCCTTTGCATGTGGTTTCTTTGACACCCACTGCCACGCTTATGTGAGTTTAGGATTTGAGGGTCAGAGTTGTGGATAGCTCCGTTGGTACAATATACATATTGCCTCTTGACAGTACTTCTCCAACACGCAATGTGTGCTTGTTGGGGAGTTGTTTCAAGCTGCACGTTTCTATGAGGAGAATACTTGCGACGGGCGGAACACCAGGGCTTAAAAGTAGGCTTCCGGCAAAATGCTCTAAGCTTCAAATGAGGTTTCAAATGGGCTTGCCTCCACTGTTTTCTGGACCATTTTATGTGTGGTTCTTATTTATGGCACCAACATGCCGCATTTGCACCACAGATTGGTAAAACAGTTGGTTGGGGACTGGTTGGTGGACGTTGTTTAGGTTGGGATCCACCAGCCACTTTAAGGGCATCCAAGTTTACCCACCAAATGGACTGCTTACCCCTTAGTTTACTCCGCTGCGCCTCTATGAGCCCTGCATTCATGCTTCAGCTGGACGGATGTGCCCCTGCGGGTACCACTCGGGGGCGTGTTGGCCGCTCGTTCCATCGGGGTTGCCAAGTTGCGACCTGCTTAGCCAGGGGCATAACCCAACAGCAATATGGGTACCCCGTGAGTGAGGACTGTTCACTGGGCAACCTAGGTTACTAACCGCTCCGAACACCCAACGCTCAAGTACTGACTTTTGTGCGTCCAACTATACCAAGAATTTGTGTCTAGGAAAGATTTGCTACAGCATGCAGCAACGATGGGGAAGCTCCCCCTGCGTTTGTGATGCAAAGGTGAAGTCTGCATGGCGGATTGTATGCAAAGCGAGGGCGCTTGAGCAGCTTCGAGTGTTTCGAAAGGCAAAGCCACACCGAAGGATATATCTGTCGAGGTCATGAGGCCATTGTTCTTGACGTTCGACGTTCGACATCAAGATCCACAAGAGACTTGCATGGGCTTTTCATGGATTTGCAATGAGTCTATCAGGGGTTCCTAGGGTGCCATAGGTCTCCCTTGCTTCGAGTGATTTTGGCAGCTCGCCACAGGCATGTAGGTTGGAGCCCCGCACCCCCAAATGCGCCCTAAACCTGCAAAACCTGTTTGTTTTTGGAGGGAACCCTTTTCAGGTTGGTTTAGAGCCTAAGAGCAAAACCGATGCCCATGTTTGGGCCCACTATTCTGATACATACCCACATGTGCAAGCGCAAGCAGGTTGCACTTCTTGGACCGTCAAAGGTTTCTAGCACATCTTGCGCCCAAGGATTATGTGTAGCGTCCGAGCGGAGCCCAGTTGTTAAGAACCCATTCAACGGGTCACCTAAACTTGGATTCCACGGGTTTGTCAGAGCTCGACCTCGCCGGTTCAGGGCGGCCCTGTGTCTACGTTGCTGGCGCGGCAGCGGATGTGCGCGTCGCCGGGCTGATGCTGCAGGCGCCGTCGTGTAGTCAAGCCGAAGCCGTGGCTCCTTGGAAACGGGGCATTCCACTTGCCTATGTTAAGCGAACTCACCTGGGGGTATAACGTGCTCACCATGACAAAGGGCTTTACTTGGAGGTGATTGGCTCCCAGCTACTCACCTTAGGTGTAGGGCGACCTCAAGAGGCGTTTGGCGACGACCAAGCGGTGGTCACGCCACCTCGAGGAGGCATCGTTGTGTTGCCATGGAATTTTCGGCATTGCGGGACCTCTGGTTCGATGTACACAGCAGCAGCAGCAGCAGCAGCAGCAGCAGCAGCAGCAGCAGCAGCAGCAGCAGCAGCAGCAGCAGCAGCAGCAACGTCAACAGTGGGTGAAGCGCGGTCAAACGAATCGATGAGAGTGCTTGTGGCTTATGTGGCTCCTGGAGCGACCAACCCTTGGGGCCCGTGAGTGTTGTTGTTGGTTGGTTGCTGGTTGGTTTGGTTGGTTGGCTGGCTGGCTGGCTGGCCGGCGAGCGGGCGGGCGGGCGCGGACGGGCGGGCGGGCGGGTGGGTCGGTCAGTCGGTGGGTTGTTGTTGTGGTTGTCATTGTGGTTGTCGTCGTCGTTGGTGCTGTTGTTCTTGTTGTTGCGGCTGTTGCTGCTGTTAACCACCAGTTGGTTTCCCTCTAAAGGGAACCAGGGCCTGGCTGAAACGCATCCACCGGCCGCCGTATACAGGCAGCCGCGACCTCCGCCACGAAGACTCAGCCGCTTGGCGAACCTGAGATGCTTTCCGCTCGTGGAAAGCCCCGAAAACGCGCGCGACAAGGGGCTTCGCATTTTGCTTGGGGTCCCTCCAAATGGTCAGACCGAGCATCATTGAGAAGATGAACCAGCTCGATGCGGCCTGAAGAAAGTTTTGCAAGCGGGGTGCAAAGGTGGTTGGGGAATGAGCTGGCGTGCAAAGGTGGTTGAAAGTTGAGCACAAGCTGAGGTAATACAAGTCCAGGGATAGAGTTCAAAGTTGCCCAATATTCCTCTTCTCCTGCAACACAATGCCTTGCGACTTAGATCCCAGCACCTGAATTGCCAGTCAAGGCAAAGCAAAGCATTCTTGATTATTCTGTCACTTGCACAAGGCCCACGAAGCCGCCATAACTACATGCAGCCGCCTGGCCTGACCATGTTGACATTGCATTTTTACTTTTGCGCAGCCAGGTGGACTCTTGACTTTGCTGATCATTTGTGCGGCAGGGTAAAATGTGTGCAGCCAGCATTGTTCCAGATATGCTGCTGCGAGCCTCTGGTTTTCCTTGGCTGTTTAGTGCTTGCACGAGGGCCAGAGCCCACCAACTATCTCAGCAGCGCAGCGTTGGTTGGTGATTATTGCCTACAGCCGCATCATGCCGCATCTGATTTCTTCACTCAACGAGCAACGTGTTGTGTGTGTGTGTGTGTGTGTGTGTTTGTTGGGTACCGTTTTGGGTTGGTTTAAAGGGACACCAAAAGGAAGAGCAGTTTGGGTCCCCATGTATATACCTATATATATATACACATAGCACACCCTTGTGGCTTTCAGAACCCTTGACATTTTTAATGACACGTCCATCTTTTGGTTGACGTGCGTACGTCTGCATGTATCCTGCCCATTCGACGCACGGGTCAATTTGGCCTCCACTACTCCCAAACCACTACCCCCAGCGGTTCAATTGGATATACTGCTGTTGTTTTGCCATGCGGTATGCCGTTTCCTCGTGGGTTTCGGGGCAGCGGCATCTCGAATCCAAGGCCGAGCACGTTGCTGCAGTGGGGAGAGGCCTCCACACCAGCTTCCGACGCTTCAAAGCCAGGCGAGCGGGAACCGCCGCACGTTCCGTGCTTTTTGCTCTTTGATTGGGGGGTGTCCGTTTCAACCGAACACGGGTGACGTGTGCGCCTTTTTTCTCCTTGGTCTGGGAATTGGACCAAGAACGAGCTTGCAAAATCCGCTCGCCGATTCGTGGAAGCGGGGGCGGGGAATCATCTACTCTTCAGGCCCCCCAAAGTGTCCCCATCAACCAGACTCGCGATGGCTGGTGATCGAGTCGATGCCAGTAAAGTGAGCGACGTTCTAAAACCCCTGCATTTGAAAGTTTTAGGGATATCAGCCACTTGTGACATCATGTGGGGAGGCAAGTACGTCACGAGCTTTCAAGTTTGTTTAAGCCCTTGCTGGCTTTGAACAATGACAAAGAACCTTTGGGATGCCCACTTGAAAAGATGTTTTTTGTCACGAGACCCTTGCAAAAACCAGAAAACGCAGCCCGAAAGCTCCGGGAAAGCCCCGCAGCTGCGTGAAAGCCCTTCAACTTCCCAGCCTCTCCCCGATGTGTCGCCCAATTGCCCAAGCCAAAGACAAGGAGTTGCAGTTCTCCTGCAAATGCGAAAGCGAAAACGGGCTTCAAAACCCAGGTTTCAATCTGCGACAGCGACGAGCGCCAGCGCTTCACCATCAAAATCTCTCGCATGTTCCCTGGCGGAAGCTCCGCGAAAGCCTTCCAGAAAGGGATTAGATGCAGCTCAAGTGCACTGAAAGTCTTCTTGCTTCCGAAAGGCTTACATGTACGCATGTGTTCAGGAATGGGCTTGCTTGGGGAACTCGATCCATCCGCAAGATATAGGTGGTGCCCTTTTCAACTTTTGGTTCTTGAGATCGAGGCTCTTGGAAACTGATCGGACTTGTTACCCAGCGGCAAAGTCTCCTCAGCGTGCTGCGGCCTGGAGCGGATCACTTCAGCTGCTGGAACTGGGCGAAGGAGCGATTTCGCCCAGGGCGGCGTCCCCTTGGCGTCTCTGTTTCTCATCGTAAGTTTTCCCCACAAGCTATAGGAACGACTCAAACTATGATTCCAGCTTTCTGTTAGTTTACTTGCGCATATGATTCCTGTCAGTCGCACGACCGCTTGCTCGGAGCTGAAAGATGCCGCCGGCGCAATGCTCAATCAGTTCCCAGGTACCGTCGGCTGGCTGGCACGATACACTACGCCACCTGATGACGCATGCTTTTGGAGGTGGACTTTTGTATTTTTAGGACTTTGGGCGTTTGCTCCATTTGCTCCCTTCAGACGAACCTCGAACCAAACAAACGCCGGATTTAGAGAAGATCAAACAAGTCATTTGTCCGTGCCAGGCGTCTTATCCGACATCTTCGCTCGGGTGGGTGGTCCAGACACCGACCGGTCCATAGGCCTGGGTGATGGGTCCGCCCCCGAAGGCTCCCGGACGAAGTGGAATCCTCTCCCAAAGTTGACGGTTTGGAACCCCCAGCTTTTTTGCAGTTGGGCCCTCTGACAGGGGCAGATTGAGGTGCATCCCTATGCGTGTGTCAAAATAGGGGGCCCAACAAGTATAAAGGTTTCCTTTTGGTTTCCCTTTGCGAAGGGTACCCTCAAAAAGCGTGCACACGATAAGGATCCTTGACAGTGACAGCAATCCTTGACGGCAAGATCTCGAAGATTGGCATTCAGGAACAACAAATGCTGGTGAGACAAGGAGCTTCTTGCCATTCTCGATTTTGTCGGGTTCAAGTCTGGACTCCTTCAGAAGCCAGGCGCCCCAGTCACCAAGAGTTTCTTGTGAGCTCTTTGGAAACCCTAGATCATGGGTACCGGGCGTTTGCAATGTCTTGTTCTGGTTTTGGTTCCTTGGAAGCACGAAGACCGAGTCCAGTGGATCCCAGCAGCCCCTTATCATCAGTAGATCAACCATTTTCCTTCTATTTTGTTTTTTTAGGTAGGTTCAAGCTGAAAGCAAGCCGCAAGCACATTGGAGGGAAGCTGCCATTTCATCCTGGATACCTGCATGGAATCGATTCGGGAGAAGTCAGGCCGTGCGAGAAGTAGCCGCTGACTCAATCAACCGGGGAGGCAGTAAACGGTTTCAGTAAACGGATGACCTCTAGTTTGACAGGGTGTGTCTTCTTTTGGTAGACTTCCCACAATGGCGGGTGTCCTGTTGATTCCATTTGAACAAAACAAAGAGGGGTACCCTCGAAAAGACACACCCAATGGTTTCAACTGTAGGCGTGGACGTGGCGTTGAAGATCGAGTCCAGCCATGCGGGGATCCCAGTCGGTTTTCCCTCCGGTTGAAAGAGATCTGTTCTGGGGTCTCTGCTGACATTTTACATCTGGAGTAGCGCGATGCTACTCGGACAGTATAAGACTAAAGTTGGGGCAGTTCAGATCCCCCCAGGTACCACCGGTACTGCTCGCGCCGTGCCGTGGAGACCACAACGAGTCCGACAACATGTTCAGGTTTACTACATCCCGGGCCAGAGTCAACAAATTTCGTTTCGGATATTTTTCGGGCTCAAGGGCACTTGGCTCAGTTCTTGGATGCAGAGTTGTGCGACAATCATCGGCTATGCATTTGCATGAGACGAGCTCAGCCTTGAATCATGGAAAGCTGCAGTGGAAATGTACAGAATCGCGGTCGAGGCAACACGGGGGTCCCTATATTTGCGTGTTTGGTGGTTAAACTTTAAGCTTGAAACATCACATGTTGAGCCCTGATAGAGACAGAGCGAGTGCAAATCTCCAGCAAGGTCTTGGAGTTGGGCTGGAACGAGTCCTTATTTTGTCTTGCTGGTTCAGCAGGGAATGAGAAACGGAATGACCCCTATACACCTTCCAACTGGTGGTTTCCTAGGGGACCTTCCCACATTCCCTGAGCACCAGGAAGTTGTTGACCAACTTTCCCTGTCTGCAAAACGAACACCATGGGAGCCAGAGAGGAGGTCAGCTGAAGCATCAAGCCCTCAACGGAATATCTTCAGCTTCTGCCGAGTTTGAGTCTTGCTGCAACACCGTGTTTGTGATCGGGTGTTTGTTGAAATTGGGCCAAGCCGTATATATATATATACATACATACATACATATATTTGTTTTATATTTCATGGCAAGCTTTTGGTGACCCTGAGGCACATCCAAGATGGAGCCTCGTACCTTTTCGTGAACACCTGGATCCATTTTATATTTGTTCAAGTTCCTGGGAGCCCCGAGCCGCCGTCCAAGGGGCCTCTTGGCTCCCAGCGCGCCGTGGCGTCCGAAGTCGCGCCATGGCTGCTGCATACGAGGATGACAAGATTAATTGGGAAAAGTACATGGAGCTGATCAAGGCCGCGGGTGGGGCTGAGACTTGCCTCGGCATGAGCAGGATTAGCGGTGCAGGATTTTTGTTTCCATCAGTCCAGTTCTAGCCGTGCCCACTCCATTCTCTTCAAGGATCCTTTTGTTCGGATATTGGCACTTCCCAAGCCCAGGGAGAACCAGGGGTCACTATTTTGACGGTTTCTGGGGGTTATCAAAGTCAGGAAATGAGGTTGTTTCCCTTGAACCCACCACTTAGGGGGTGACTTTGACATGGTAAAATAATGAGGCCAAAGAAATGGCTGGTTTCTCAAGAAAAACGATGTGAACATGTGGATTTGTGTGCCAGTCAATGAAGCCCTGAGATGAACCACCTAATACCACCTGCTGAGACCTGGATTTCCGTCTACCCGGCTTAAGAAGAGAGCGCCAGGCTGTGAGATAGGTCCATTGGTGTCCTTTTTGGTGGTTTACCTGGTGGTTTAATCATCTACCAGGGCCATCTATTTCCCCTAACAGGACACCTATGGATAGGTCTGCTTTCACTGGTTTCCGAACGTTTTGCTCTTTGTCTACCACTTTGTGGCGGTGTGGGGGTGGGGGTGGGGGTGTGGGGGTGTGGGGGGGGGGGGGGTGTGTGTGTGTGGGTGTGTGGTGTGTGTGTGTGTGCGGAGTGACAGAATGCCCTGTCACCACCCTTTCGGTTTCGCAGCAGGGGGCAGGAGCACCATGGCAAGTCTCCTGCCAACGAAGACACTTGCCATCGGTGGTGATACTGGGACTGATCATCCCAGCGTACCTGCGCAACTCGCGTGATTCAAAGTCCTTTTGGCCCGCTGTTTCTCTCGCTGTGTGTGCTTCATGTTGAACCTTGTAACGTTTTCGACACTAGAGGGAAACCGAGTGCATTGCGAGCCGAAACTCATCCTACTCGAGACTTGTCGGTTGTACTCGAGACTCATCAGTTGTACTCGAAAGATTAGCACTCTCCATCTGGAGTTCAAGTGTGTACACCCCATTCGTGGGGAATCCTCGGGTGTACCCATTGTGTGACCCCGGGCCGGCTCTGTCGGAAAATTTGACCTCAACGTGCTTATCATAGAACAGCGGAATTTCACATTTAATCAGGAACGAGGTTTCACTAAAGGGAAGAAAGCCGTCAGATCATAGCGACGTCTCACCACAGCGGATAGCTGCCGATTTTCATTGCATTTCTTGACCATTGGTTGAACTCGTTGCTCGTATCACTGCGGTTGATGATTGCTGACTTGTATTTGCTTTGCCTTGTGCATGTCGATTGACCATTGCAGTTGAGGGCCGCTAACTTGCATTTGCATTGATTTGAATGTTGTCGGGTCCGATTCTCTCAAGGAGGAAGTGCGCAAATTCAGAGTCAGTTGCGTCACCATGTCTCGACGTGATGAGCGTGATAGATCCAGGACTCGACGCAGACGTGATCGGAGTCCGTCCCCTCAAGCTCACAAAGCACGCCGACGTGAGCACAATGACAACCAGGTCTCGGAGAACATGGATAGGAACAACTTGGTTTCATGGCAACACAACTCCGGCTACAACGCTGCGAACAACTTTCCGATGATGCCTACCAATTTTCAATCGACTCACAACCCCACACAACAATTCCAATACCCGGCGATCAACTACATGATGCCGATCCCTCCTGATCCCACGCCATCCAAGTTCATGCCACCAGTGATGCCACCACCGGTCACTACTTCCCAACCTACACCGTCACCTGTACCTCCTGCGGCTCTACCGGTTCGTCCTCAGAAAGCCTGGCTTACTCCATCGCCTGACTGGACACCTGGAGACGGCATGTTTGATGTCAATCAACTCTACAACTTCAGCCTGCCCATGACTGTTGCCAACACTCCGCATGGCAACCTTCGCGACATGTCAGGCATGGATATTAGGGACGTACGCCTGGTTCAGGTTATCCACGGGGGCCTCACCAACTGGCTCCTCAGGCCGTTTGCACACGGCCGATTCGTGACGTGGAAGGCTTTCGCACCCGCACCGAGGCCTTACTTTGGAGTACCTGCTCCAAATTACTACGAAGATCGCAGTCACTTAACCTGCTCACCCTGGAAAAGGACCTTGCCAACACGCTGGGTCTCAACATTGATGACTTCAATCAGCGCATCAAGGTCCACGACCATTTGGCCAACTTGGTACTTCAATTTCTTCAACAACATCACACCTCTCTCGCACCTGCCGCCCAGACCGATGACATGGTCAAAAAGTTCAATGGTTTGAATCGTGCACACGAACTTCTCCAAGCTCAGTATTCCGCATCACTTCGCGCATCGACTTCTCCCACGATGACAAACCAGAAGGATGATGCAGAGTTGGTTACACCACCACCGGTCAACCACACACCATCCTCGTCACCTGCCAGCTCCCTTCCCACAGCCAGCGCGGCCGCCCTGGATGGCAAGTCGTTTGATAGCGTGGTGCAACCTCGGATCATGCAGTCTCTTCACGGAGTGTCGTCACCGCCGTCCAAACCGGCGGCGTCACAATTGCTCACCATGCACAGCACGCCGGATGAAGTTGTCAAGTACTACACATGGACCAGCGACCAACCACGCCTTTTCCTCAAGCAAGCACCCACAACAACCACTTTGGCATCGCTGGTTAAGTGGGCCAATCACCCGTCCCGGCTCAACGGCAACAAGTCATTAGATTCTATGGCGACGCAACTTCTTCAGGCGAGGCAACGCATGCCGAAAGGCGATGCACCCACTCTCGGGGCAATGGCGGCTTCATGGGGACTAGAACCCGGCTATCTTACCAAACTCACTGAGAAGGCATTGAGTCACCTCATCGTGACCGCTCGCCTGCTCTGCGGATGAGAAGGCATCATGATGATCTTCGTTCTCATATGAGCCCGGAGCGGCAACAATGTCACGGATGAGTCCAGGTGAAAACTCGTCCGTCAAGTGTCTGCGTTGCACCTGATTGATCTTGTACTTGCTTGTTCTTGCATTGCTTCTTGTGTGATTGTCTGAGATGCTTGTATTCATGTCGCCGCCTTGTGGTAGATTTCGTTGGTTGCATCTCACCATGTTGGATGAACTTCGCCGCTGCGGAATCTATGATGATGTTGCACAATGGCAGTCGCTGGACGACCTTCTGCACTCGTTGACCATATTCTCTACGTGCTGGCATTACTGTTTTCCTGGACTACCACCACCGTCGATTCCAATTGAGGAGTACGAATCCATCACACAATTGCCGTGGCTGGGTCTCATCCTCGAGGTCTTAGTTGTGGTCCGGATAGCCCTTCAGATTCCGAATCGCGCTATGTCCAACTCTCAGCACACCGTGGCCAACAGATACGAGCTTCACAGATGTCGGTGCGCAGCCTATTTATTGATCAGTTTCTTACAACGTCTCATTTCACAAGATCACGGCTACTTCCCGCCGTTCTTTGAAGTCCTCCACTTCTACAAGACTTCTCTCTTGTGTGAAATCATGCACTCAACTTTCGCTGACACGCGACATCTACGCTCATTGCGGGCGCGATTTCCTGACCTCTACGACTTCATACATGATCCAGGTCATCACCAACAACCGTGCGTCTACATTCGCCTTTCCTCATGGCACACACCATACTATGTTGGGGCGACTGATCAGGAAGTGCTACGTCGTGAACACTCACGCAGTCGCAAATTTCTACAACTGCTTCGTGGACGACATGCCTTCTTTGAACCGGCGCTTCACTACTGGAAACGATCCAACACCTACTGGCTCTTCTGTGCTGTACCAGTGGAAATCAAACTTCCAGTTTCCTCGGTGTGGGTTCAAGAAAGCAAATGGCAATACCTGCTACGCCCGCATTTGAATGCACCCTGGGTAGACAGAATCTTGCGCAAGGTGGGCTTCCGGGAACATCTTGTAGATTTTCGACGCCACTCGTTGTCATCTCCCACTTCCCTTGGCTTGCACAAGCGCTTTCGACGACGACTACATCCGGATCTCCAACGGCAACTACGACCTGACACCCTGGATGACATTCAAGCCCACTACTCGATTCTCTATCAGCTGGGATCGAATACAGGAGCGTCGTTCCAAGTCATGCGTGACCTACTGTCGGCCGCTTTCCCTCCCACTGAGCTGTACTACTTATTGCGGCTCGCAGTCTTTGTCAACGAACCCTTCCGCTCCAAGGCCCAGAAGCTCCTCGCCCAGGTACTGCGCAAACGACGGCTACAACCACCCACCACTTTGACACAGCTACTCTTGCCGCCGCTGCATGTCCAGAATTGGAAAGCTCTACTTGGCACATGGTTACAAAGCTGGATTGCTTCCCATCGGGATCTGTTCCCTTCTCTTTTCATTCCAAAGATCCGGGTTGTGGAAACTCGCAGCGCCACATTGGGCGACAAGATATACAACTATCGCACATGGCAGCGCAAATGGACGCCTGACACATCCTTTCCGTGTCGCTGTTTGGACATCGATGATCACCATCTACTCCGTGCACATGGTCACGCAGTAATGGTGGATGACTTTTCTCGCATCAATGCGGACATTAACGTTGAAATCATGGCCGCCTCAATGAAGGATCAGTTTTTCGGTGATGTCGACTTATTGCATCAACGTTTCACCACACAGCTTCGCAAACTTGCTCGCCGCTGGCACGTACATGGTTCCGGTCTACTTTCAGATCTACAACCGGTCGTGACTCAGTTAATGGAGACTCATCGGATGAACCTCCAAGATCGGGCTTATTGGTCATCGACATCGTTGCAACGCACTGTGGCCTCTTTGTCTTCGTGGGTAGTTATCCCAGCGGATCATTTTCCCTCCCGTGCACATGTAATGTGCCCGTCCCTGTTTGCCATATTGATGCGGAAGACATTCTGCACGGGGGATGTCTTCTCACTTTGCCGCGAATCCGCAGCATCCTTTCGCTCTGAAGTGGTAACCACGGTACCTTCTCTCCTACGTCAACGATATGCATGGGGACTTCGACTTCAAGCACCGTTGCCCACAGCGCGCATCC